ACATAATTTCTGTTCGTGTGTCAGACGTGAGTCTCAGCAGTGACTTCATCTCAGGCTTCTGTGGTGAAACTGAGGACGACCACCAGCAGACTTTGTCTCTAATCAGAGAGGTGGGCTACAATGTGGGATTCCTTTTTGCTTACAGTATGAGAAAGGTGAGTTCTTCTTACTCTAGAACTCACTTTCTTTCTTTTCTCCCGTCCTTTAAATGATATGTGATGTAATTGTTTTTCCATGTCTGCCACACATTCAGAAGACGCATGCCTTCCACCGGCTCCAAGATGACGTCCCAGTGGAGGTGAAGCAGCGAAGGCTGGAGGAGTGCATCACCGTGTTCAGAGAAGAAGCTGAAAGGGTCAACGCTGCTCTCATTGGCAGTACACAGCTTGTGCTGGTGGAGGGAGTGAGTAATACACACAGAGTTTCCCAGTGTGTTATCAAAATTGTTTTTAAATATATTTTGTCCTTCAAATAGCACGATTGCAGGTGGTAGAGCAGTGAACAGTAACTACGTCAGCCACACCCTTGAACCACAGGCCGTATGTAAAGGATGGTGTAGCTGTTGTGATGTCACCCATTGGTTTTGGACATTTTGAGCTATATGAGTAAAAGACCAACACAAATGTGCACAATTACTGCACAAACTGAAGCACACTTTGTACCTGGTAACAGCCCCATTATATGGCTATTCCATTAAAGAGGCACCAACAGCACATCGTCGAGAGGTCCAGTTCATTGAGTTGTATTAGCCCCCCTAACTTCAAGCTTTGCCAGTGTCCAAATGTACGTCTGTAAACGATGCATGACAGACCCGACCACATATTTGCACTTGTCACTACACCTCTTTATTGCGGCTGTCGATTTACATACTCGGCTGCAGCTTTTCAGCTGAAGCCTACACACAACAACAACAACAGGACATAGTTCATGTTTTAAGCCGGCGAGACCACGTCCCACCACAATGACATAGTAAAACAAAGTAACAGACTGTAGTCATGCTTTTTAGTGCTGTTTAGTTAGATATTTTGACATGGAGGTTTGTGGTGGTTTACTTGCTGAGGAACTAAGTTTTTTGGCACTTCATTGTGGGCTTAAGGCCTGGATGTTGCTTCTTGACTGGAACTTAAATTGCTTTGAGTAGAAAGAAACTGAATTGGTTGCTTTTGATTTTTATTCAGGAAAGTAAAAGATCTGCCGAGGACCTGTGTGGAAGAACTGATGGCAACATGAAAGTGATTTTCGCCAAAGAGGATGTTCATGTTCAGCCTACAGCATTCAGCACTGTACCCATCAGTGCTGGAGACTATGTGCTGGTGAAGGTAGGCTATAATTGATATAGACGGAGGCAACTTTAAAGAATATCTGTTGTCTTCTAAAAAAACACAATTTATATGAGCAACATGTTTGGCGGATTGAATGAATGTTAGGCCACTACATGAAATAGTCAAAGCCAAGTTTTAAGGGATCCTTTAGTGAATATATCATGTGTTTATGATGTTTCATCATGTCAGCGGTTTAATGTTTCTGCTGTAAGAATTGGTTGATCCAACTTTAAATGCTGGGTACATTGTCACCAGTCAGGAAAGTGACTGGGAAAGTGTTTCAGGAATATTAATTATCTTGAATGTATAAATACGGTTCCTGTATTCAGTCTTTTATTCTCTGGCATCTTCTTTTGTCTTGTTTTAGATCTTGTCTGCCAACTCCCAGAGTCTGAGAGGTCGAGCTCTCAGTCTCAGCTCCCTGAGAGCCAGAGAAGTGCGCTGTAGGACTCCACCTGAGGACCAGCGTGATGAACATGTAGCTCAAACTCAACCGTGACTTAAACATGTCACTGATTGATGGACACGGATGATACCACATCGAACAGACTGCTACATTTCCTTCATCACTTGTTTGACGTTTTTGACAAATGGAGGATGCTTTCAGGTGGACTGTTGCAACAAGCTGTGAAAGTTTCACTTGTAAACATTGAACTACGGAAGTTTATTAAAAGCTGTTTGAACGATGCCTGACGGTGTTCTGTGTGATACATAAAGTGGCATTTTTTAAGATCATTGAATCATAAGGAGACACATTGTCTTTTATGTGACTTTGTCATTTATTAAGCACTCTAAATTGCCAATGTCTGAACATGCTGTAAGGTAACTTACAAAAAGCAAACAGGGAAGCAAGCGTTAGCTAATATTAGCCGGAAGACACGCTAAGGTAAATTCTACAGTCCAATTCTAATCCCAACTAAGGTAAATTCCAAGCTGACTTATGTCAAAATGTAGTCTTGAGAGAAAAAGGTTAACTCAGACTGCAGGGCTGAAGTAGTAGCTTAGCTTTCTTTTGCCAAAATACTTATTGTTGCAAATTAATCATGTCATATTTGTGCAGCTTGGTTGGTTACAGCTAGCTTGGTTGGTTCTAGCTTGGTTGGTTACAGCTAGCTTGGCAACTGTATCCTGGTTGCTAAGATTAATGTCATGTAGCTTCCCCCATAAAACCATGTGGAAGTAGTTTATATTTATATTCTTTTAATCTCTACCAACCACAGAGTGATGTATGCAGTTGCAAAAAGACTAGCAGTCCTAAAGTGGTCTATAGATTGGAGCTCAGAAGACATTTAGCTGATGATGTGCTGATGATGTCCTTGGCAACTCATTTCACTCATATTAAAAAAGTCCATACGCACTAAATATAGAAATGGTTAACTTCAGAGGAGAACCAATACATAGAAAACACAATATTCTGACTGCTGTCAAAAGTAATACTTATTTAGCTGTTTTCTTGGGGATTTCTACCAGATTATCGTACTCTGACTGTAATTGTGTCTTCATGGAAGGACGCCAGAATGCAGAAAAGAATCCTGGGAGTTTTCAGGAGTGCAGTTCAGCTGAACTGAACATCTGTCCCAATCAGGATGTAGTCCTAGAAGGAACAGTTCACAGCTTTGAGTTAAAAAAAATCTGCTCATTCCTTAGAAATGTCAAGATTTCTTAATTAGATCTCATGTCATATACAAGAAGCAATACGCTCACATGCATGAAATAGATTGATTTAAAAAACAACGGCAACATATTATCAGTATCTCTGACCTTCAGCACATCAAGCTGGGTGTTCATAAGCTTCATCTTTCCAATTGTGGGCAGTGGGTATCCCTTAGCAAGTTGGACTGCAAAATGAGATTCATAATTTTAGATCACAATTTCACAAATGTGGCAAAATGTCATAATGATATTATAGATGTATTACATAGCATACTGACATCAATAAAATTAAAATACAATTTAAGAGAAAACAATGGAATGTGTTAAAGTAAGGTCTCTGATGAACTTCATTCATTTAAACTGTTAGAAAATAGACTCCCACAGTGCAAATTAAAAACAGCAGACTTATTAGAAGTGGTAAAGATGCACAGGGAGATGACCCTGAAGGTGATTCAAAGGTATATATCTTTGGAACATTTTATGATTTCCCCAATAAGAAAATGGGGTCGAATCTTAAAATAAATGGTAAAATATTCAGAAGACCAGTACAAGCTGTATTCACTAGCTGGGCCCACGTGCCCATTTTAGGTTTGACAGCGTTTTAGTAGATGAAGGTGAATGGCTTGGACATGAATTGAGCTCCGGTTTGGGGAAGGCCTCGAAGAGGGCTGGTGGCGAACCTGGCAGATCCCCATGCACTAAACAGAAGTGAAGAAGTTAAAGAATTGAAAAGTGGAGGGAGGGTGAGGCACGTAAATGAGAACGAACAGCTGTTAGAACTGTGGGAACTATACTGATGAGAACCGGGAGGAGCATATTTAGAGGCGTGGTCCCACTCCTGAAATTCCCGATATTTTATCTCCAGTAAAAGCAGGTGTGAAGGTAGGTGAGTACAGTTCCTGTACTGTGGTGGAAGTATTCTGGATTCTTGTAAATTACTTGAATAACTTTATCTTTTATGTTTTAAATTTTTAACAACACCTGAGAGGTAAATAATGAACTTCTTCAGATTTCATAAACTTATTGACTTTATAAAATATGAGCTGATAGTGTAAATTAAACCAACAGAAAGAAAGAAATGGAATGAGAATAGTTTCCATATAAGCAAGAGCTGGGGGTCTGTTTTACACAATACAATATTAATAATTATCCAGACATATGTAGTTAAAAATAATAATCCTGCTGGTCCCTCGTGTTGTTTGTCTAATATTCCCTGGAACTTTGGAGCTGCTGTGAAAATGCAAATGGAAATCCTTTTTGGAGATTTTGGTGGGGAAAAAAAACTCTTTAAAATTCAAAGTGAGGATGAACTCACCATTAACAGCAGGTATCACCACCAATTTGAAGATCCCTTGTAAGATGCTATTGAGGGTGCTGACCTGTAGGTTAGATGTAGGGTTAGTTTGAGTTGCTGATGGTTCAGACTGTTATTGTATAAAAACGCACTTCTTACCTGAAAGTCTCCCACATTACTTTTGTCCAGGGTCAGATCCATTCTGTGCAAATTAGACTAAATTAGAACGTGATGTTCATCTTAACAAAGACCAACAAAACTTTCTCCTTTTTCCAGGAGAATCCTGAATCTATCTGTAAAATTAAAAAATACACTAAGAAATAAGGAAAAGCACCTTCTGTCCTCTTTAACTGCAGTCTGTTTCACATAATTTCTGTTCGTGTGTCAGACGTGAGTCTCAGCAGTGACTTCATCTCAGGCTTCTGTGGTGAAACTGAGGACGACCACCAGCAGACTTTG